CTAAACTCGACAAGTTATGAGCCTGACCTCGATGCACCCGAGGTCGGCACCAGGTCTGACTCCGGAAAGTCAAACATTTGGTCAACGATGGTCAAGCACCAGACAGTCAACTATCGCCGGGACAGGAACAAAGGGCAAGAGGGCGGATCCTCTCAATACGAGCCCGAGCTCTCAGATATCGACCTCAGTGGCCCCCGAGGTTAGGATAAAGCGCCATGTACTTAGATAGAATCCGCAAAGATTCATCTCGCAAGAAGACACCGCCACGTCACTCCCTGCGCCAAAGGAATATTCCAGGTTGTCCACGTGCGGCCACACGGGAATTCTGACAGGAATTCTGTTAGAAGAATGATCAATCAGCCAGCTATCAAAGGTTATCTCTCCAATCAGCTTTACACGTGGCTGCTTCTCATCGAAGTAGGCTGTTAGTTTGTTAGAATAACTTTACACGTGTCCTTCTCCTATTAGACTAGCATCTTTGGCTTGGCCTCCAAGTATTTTCCCTTTCTCCTTAGTATAAATATCACCTTCCAACTTGTGGAAAGGGATGCTTAATCTATTGCACTCTTGAGACTTATATACTAAGGCCTTTTCGATCTGTACTTTCCGATCAGTTCACTCTCCTTTCTACTTTCGATTCTCGGTGGATTCCGGTCACCCCTGGTCCGACGATCCATCAAGTACCTAGGAAAAGAATTAAAAATGGGAGGGGCCATGGCCCCCTTAGCATAACAAGTAGCTCCGCCCCTGCGATCGCGTCACTTTATAGAAAAAATTGAATTGTGAAGAATTTTAAAAACGTGTACACAAATTATACAATTTGGACTTTCGGAGTGAGACGTGATGCAACAGAAAGAGAGGTAACAACTATTTTTTTATTGAACTAAAAATTCTTGATGATGTGATTTGGTATGTGTAAGTCTTGACTAGTATGCTTAAGTCGTGGTGTCTGGTTTGAGCTAATAAACATTTCGTATATCTATATTTTATTATTATCTAAATATGATCTGATCTAGTTATGTCTGGTCTAATCTTGTATGATGTGTTTAAGTCGGGCGTAGTTTCATGTGAGGTTAGAAATTGTAAACTAAAAATAACCTAAGAAGGAAGGAAGATAAAAGTAAAAAAGGAAAAGAAAAAATAAAAAAGAAAAAAAAGTAAAGGAAATGTGGAATGAAGGGAACCACGAAGACAAAAAATTAGGAGAAAGTAAAGTCGATAGAGAATGAAGACAACGAAAGAACAAAGAAAAAATGAGGCTGGAGCCTTTGGTGGGAGTTTTTTTCCTAAAAAAAATCGGCTTTTTTTTTCCTAAACCGCCAACAAGATCGGCTGTTTTGTTAGAGTTAATTGAGCATTACTTTGGGAAATATTTCTAATCACACCCTATTTTGGTAAATATTTTTTAATTTAACATTATTCTAGGCAAAACCAAGTACGTAGCAACACCCTGCGCACAAGAGAAAAGGAATCCTGGGTCCCACAAATAAAAAATCCCTAATTATTTTTGAAGTGCTATAACTTTTTCATTTGTGTGCTGATTGTTACAAAAAATATATCAAAATTTATAATTTTTTGTTATCTTTCATATGACATTAATATTGCATATATAAAAATAGAAAAATAATTTAACACTTTAAAAGATTTATGTTTTTGAGTGTTATAAAAGTTTTATTTGTTCTTCAATTGCTACAAGAACTATATACGGAGTACAAATTTATAACTTCTTATTATCTTTCATACAATACTAATATTGCATGTATAAAAGAAATTAAATCTATTGCTTTGTGCGGTTTAGAATCAACTTTTATCATGCACACTATTGATTTGGAGTGATATCTTAGAACAAACCTGCACAAATTCTAGCTCAAAGAATAAAACAATATATAAAAGTGATAGATTTGAAAATGATGATAAGCATCTTTTCTCCTATAAAGCCAGTGTTTGGTTCGTTTAAAAATCTACTAGACTATGAGGCCGCTTGGTAGCACGAAAATCGGCTGGTTTGGCTGGTTCTGCTAAAATTTATGAAATTCTGGCTGAAGTGGTTGCATTGGCTGATTCTGCTGATTTAAGAAAAAATTATTTTTAAAATATATTTTATTAATAAAATAAAGAAAAGAATATATGTAAAAATAGTCAAAACGGTGATCTACAGTAACTTCAGCCAATACAACTAGAAAAGTAACTTCAACTTTAATTTTTCTGCTTATTACACAATTCAGCGTGCGAAAGTAAAAGTTACGTGTTTGGTGCAAAAGTTGACTGATAAGCCTGATAAGCCGAAAAACAATATTGCCAAACGGCCACTATATTTAAATAGACCAGACCAAATAGACCAAACATTTATCCTAGTCTAGTAAGTTTATGTTAAATGTTTGGTCTATTTAGTCTGATTTGTTTGAGTCTGGTCTGATATATATTCTTACACAAATTGATACTCCATCCGTATAATATTAATTGCAACATTGAAATTTACACACTATTCATGTACTCTACTTTGACTACATTTTATTTATTAATGTATATGAATAAATATTGTTGAATTTGTCTCATTACAAAGTTTCATAATTTGATTTTTAAATTTTTTTACTAATAGAGAATTAAATATAATGACGATCAAAGTTGTGTATCGGTAAGCGTGAAAAAGGGAATGTTGCAAGTAAAAAAGAACGGAGGATAGTATATTTTAATAGATTTTAATTAAAATAAAAATCTATTAAAATCTATTACAACAAAAATAAAAATTTAGTATACACATAATAAGAAGTTTTTTAAAGGAAACATAATAATAATAATAATAATAATAATAATAATAATAATAATAATAATAATAATAAGTTATAAATTTGTATATACGTAGTAGTTCTTGTAGCAATTGAAGTACAAATAAAAATATTATAACACTTTTAAAAACATAAATTTTTTAAAGTGGTAAATTGTTTTTCTATTTTTTATACTCCCTCCGTCCCGTTGGGATACTCCCGCTTTCCTTTTTTGGATGTCCCAAAAAGAAGTTCTCATTTCCTTAAATGAAAAGTTATCCTACATCAAACAGTGTCAAACAGTGTTCGATACGGAACAGGAAATTCCAGACCCGTGCTCAGCCCTAGTTTTTAGTGACCCTAATTCATATTTCAAAGTTTATTACTCCCTCCGTCCCTCTATTAAGTTCCTACTTTGACCTACACACATATTTAGAAAATAAATTTGACTTTACTGTTTAGACACTGTTTGGCAATGTTTAGACACTGTTTGGCACTGTTTTGCACTGTTTGACACTGTTTTGATGTAGGATAACTTTCTATTTAGGAAAATGAGAAGATTATTTTGGGACGGCCCAAAAAGGAAAGTAGGAAGTTAATAGCGGGACAGAGGGAATATTAGTTGTATAATTTATATCTATATGTCATAATAAACGTGTTTTCATTTGAACTTATTTCAATTTTAAATCGGATTGAATGACAAAGCAATCACACAATATTTAAAAAAGTGAGACCTAAAAATAGCAAAATGCACATACAGTCATACATGATACATCTATTAAATAGACTAACAAATTTGAATTTTACTTTTATATAACTTTTCACCTTTTGCCACCATTTTATTAGTTTTTCCATTAAAAGTCCACACCTTTTGACAATAGGAACAATACATGGAGTAGAATTTACGTCCATACGACTTTAAGGATTTTATTACTGACATCTAATCTAATGCAAATAAAAATATTTGCTTGTCCAAATAATACCTCCCTAAGACCGTTTGTAGTGGTTCCAGATTAGGAGTCAAAAGAATAAAATTGGAAGTTTGAGACTCTTATTTGTGTGTAGTGGAGGATTAAAAGGGGGAGTAATAATAGAAAGAGGAATGGAGGAGTGTAAATATGATTCGGTCAGGAGGTCTCCATTTGTAGTTGCAGGTGCGGGTTCGAATCCGTGTGACGAAGTATTTTCCGGGTTCTCGCATTTTCCGAGTTTTGAACAGTTTGGTTCCGTCTTGGGTTCAAGTGTGTCAATGGGTAATCCCGGTTTTGGTCATACTTGCGGGTTGATACTGAACCAGACCGGATACATGACCGGTTGACCGGGTTCCGGGTCAAACCATCCGGTCCGGTTCGGGTCTTACAACATAGGTAAACATAGAGGGTTGGGTTGACAGGGTAAAAGAAAAGGAAAAAGGAAAAAGAAGGAAAGACCGCTGCTAGCGCATGCATTCTGATGACGTCGTGGTGATGTCACGCAGATGTCATTAAAACCTCAATTAATTTTAAAATCTTATAACTCTTTTATCTGTTCTTCAAAAATTTCAAAATATATATCAAAATTCATGATTTTTTATGATCTTTCATATGACATCAATATGTAATATTTAAAATGAAAAACAAATTTGAAATTATAACTGTTGAAGTTTTCTTGAATAAAAAAAGTACGAAATACAAATTTTTAATTCATTGAGCTTTCACATATACTAACTGAATATTTCTTAATCGAATTTTATTTGAACAAAGTTCATTTATTTTTTATTTCACAAGTATTCAGAGAAAAAATCAAAACGAAAATATTACTTATAATAATTTAATTAATGTTTTACTAAATTGATATGTAAAAAATATGCAGAGCGTATTTTATTGACGGCGCACGAATGCAAGAAAAAACAGTATTGACGAAGTCTAAATACTGTTTTTATATGGATGGAGTCCATATTTAACAATTTGGACTCTTAATCACTACAAATGGTCTAATGAGGACATGTTTATTTATTTGTTTATAGAAGTTTCCAATCATTTGATGCGTCTCTATATTTAAGTACTTGGCGCATGCCTTCATATCCTTCAGTATACTTTTTGACATTCTTTTTTATCTTTAAGACATTTTATACCTTTTCCTTTAATTATTTTCCATTTTTAAAACTCATAAAGATCAGATTAATCTAGAAAGTTTTAGTTCATTTAAAACATCCATAAAAATGTAATCGAGCTCTATTTTTGTTTACATAATAATCACTACCTTAATACATCAAATTAAGCCTCTCAACTTAGAGGAGTTTTAGCCATGAGACTCCTCCATAGCTTAATCTTATCATTAGCACTCCTAATTACTTCCACCCAACCGGCTCAAGTGCCGTTCTCCTGCGACTGGTCCGACCCGCGGACGAAATCCTTCGGCTTCTGCCGAACCGATCTCTCCATCAGCGACAGAGTGAAAGATCTCGTCTCTCAACTCACTCTCGATGAAAAGATTTTGCAGCTCGTTAGCTCCGCCCCGGCTATTCCGCGACTCGGCGTCCCCGCCTTCGAGTGGTGGTCGGAGGCTTTGCACGGCGTCTCCGGCTTCGGGAAGGGGATTTCGTTCGACGGCGCCATCAAATCCGCCACTAGCTTCCCTCAAGTCATTCTCACCGCCGCTTCGTTCGATGAATACCTTTGGTACCGCATTGGAGAGGTAATTGCTTAAACTCAGCACATCGTTTACCCGATTAGTCACTTCATTAAGGACCCCATGTTGATTATGGCCAACCGCCCTTCCAAAATGATTTGCAAAGTTATTTTTTCTTGGTTAAGATAGTTTCATTTGGTTAACTTGTTTAGCATATCAACACAGTTTAATTTTCAATGTAGTTTTTAAATATACAAACTTTAAATTTTTAAACTGGTTTAACTACATGGAAGGATGATGTAATTTTAAACTCAGTCAACTTTAAAGTCCACACAAGTTATAATTCAATTTTTAACAGATGAATTAAGTAGTTTATAATAAGCAAATTCCACAGGAGGTACCTTACAGGTTTACCTTGTACATCACTCATTAGAAGTTAGAACATGTGAATAATTTAAATGAAAATTCTCGAAATAGATGTAAAACGTTTTGAAATTATAGAAGGGGGTGTTATGTTTTTATTTTCCAATTAGGAGTAATTATTGTCAAGCTTGTAAAATACTGCCTTATTTGACTATTTGTAGCGTTGAGACTGGAGATGCCAAAGCATTACGGTAATTACTCTTATTAGGAATAAAAAAAATAATCTTATTATAGAATTCACAAACGTTTTTACTCCTAATCAAGACCATTTCTTATAATTTAAATATAAATATAATTACTTGTATCAACAAAATGCATTGTGTAGTTATAATTAAAAGTATCCTCACTCATCTCACCTAAAACGTCAGAGTGAGAGTTTGCTTCTTGTTTGGAACCTGGCGTTTTTTTAATTAATCAGAAACGACTCTTCTGTGAACTGTGCGAACTTGAACACATGCGCAATCAATCGGTTAAAGGCGATTTCTAGTGCGCGGTAGTGTATAGATGACAGCAGAAACCTCTCGGAGTATATTCTAGTCCATATTATATTTGACTTATTTGTAGTCTCACTTTGTTATCGGGGCAATCTCGAAAAATTAATTGTTTCGTGAGTAATAATTATATAATTGTTTCGTGAGTAATAATGAAATAAAAAATTGAAATTAATCATTCAGATTAACCCCCCTCAAGGGTTTCGGGTGCGTTTTTTAGAATCCAGGACTAATCAAGCGAAGTCTATCACTTGATCACTTGATTCTCACAAAAAATTCTTAATTTTTTCCCAAGTAATAATTATATAATTAAGGTGAGGTCAGAAGTGGAATATTTATTTAAAAAAGGATAAATTTGAACATATTAAGATTTCAATTAATCAAACGAAGTTAATGTGATTAAACTTTTATAAAAGGCTTAAATATATTTTTAGTTTTGTGAATATACTAATTTTATTTTAAAATCTGCAATTTTCTTTTCCATTTTTATCTCGGTAATATACAACTACAAGTGGTATAGATATACCACTCCCAATTATATTTGAAGTACCTCCTAAGTAGTGGGCAATGTCGAAAAATTATGTTGATTGCTTAACTCCTTTATACATTTGATTTCAATTTTTTATGACTTTGCTAGATGTTTGTTTTTTATTTGAAATATTTTTTTGAGACATTTTCATTCACAACAATTTTTTTCCTCAGACAGCAACTTCAAACTTTAATTTAGTCCATTTTTATTACTCCCTCAGTCCCAAATTGTAAGATACATTTACTATTCACTTGGTCAACATAAATCACTTCTAAACTTTTATTTTATATATCAAAAGTTTATGAAGTTTGAATTATTTTTTGCAGGTTTTGTAGCGGATTTAATGTAGTTTTTGAATATGTAAATTTTATTTTCTAGAACTAATTTGGGTGTTGACAGGGATCAATTTGCTTTATCGTCAGTCAAACATCGTAAGCCGAAATGTATCTTACAAATTGGGACGGAGGGAGTAACTTTTAGTTTATTAAAATAATGGGATGATTGAAGGCAATTGGGAAAGAGGCTAGAGCACTGTACAATGCAGGCCAAACAACAGGGTTAACATTGTGGGCACCAAACATCAATATATTCAGAGATCCACGATGGGGGAGAGGTCAAGAAACACCAGGTGAAGACCCGGAAGTGACGGGGAAGTATGCCGTGGCATATGTACGAGGAGTACAAGGCGATAGCTTTGATGGGAAGGTTGCGGCAGATTATCTTCAAGCTTCTGCTTGCTGCAAACACTTTGCTGCCTATGATTTGGAGAACTGGAATGGCAATCTGCGTTATGGATTTGATGCCATTGTAAGTTTACCAGACATTTTCTCAAATGAGCGTTTATTTAGGTTGTTTTCTAATGTGTGTTTGTGCATTTCGTATAGATCATTTAATGAGTATTAAAGGTAATGGCTACTACGTATAAAATACTCCTTATTTTGCTTTGTTTAACTTCTCCATATAGTTTTAGTTAGAATGGAAAATGAACTAGAAATATTGATCTTTAACTTACATGTTTGATACACTGACACATTATACAAACCCGAAGGGATTCAGATAATCAGATGAATGGTTTTCCTTTTATTTTTTGAGCAAAACAATGGTTTTCCTTTTTTACTTGAGAAGATTAAAGAATAGTTTACAAATTTTCTTGATTGAGACGCCAAGTTTTATCATATCTGTTACTCCGTACTATTGTAATTTGTAACCATCTTGCTTTCAATTGCATTGTGAGGACTTGAGGACACTAGCTATTTTTTTGTGTTGCAGAAATTTGCATGCAAAACTACAAAAGAGCTAGCAAGTATTATCAAATATTTTAAAATATCCTTTAAATAAATTTCCTCAAATAGAAGTAAAATGTTAAAATAAGATTCATTTTTTAAATCTTCTAGCGTTTAAGGGTCAGGTTCACTGATAGCGTTTAAGGTTTAGTAGGGTTTATCAACCCCCCACCAAGAGTTAAGTGGTGGCTGAGTGCCAAAATTCTAAAAGGGTATTCTTGTCCACTCACAATTTTTTAGTCCTACTTCAGAATTTTTAAACACAAACTCCTATTTTTGTAATTTAGCCGTGTTTTGCTCCTACTTGAATTTTCTCTAATTTCTACGTAGTATGTGACATTCCAAACATGTCTGTGTTAGGATAGGGGTAATACTGCGTACATCTGATCCCTCTTATCCACTGTAGGTGGGACCCTTTGCGGAACTGGGGTAATGATGATGATGATGTGACGTTCCAAACATCTCCACATTAAAAGCATAAAAATAATAAGGGTCCGGTTCCAATAAATAGTGGTCTTGCCATGAAAATTGCGATCCTCTCCACTTTTGGTCATCTGAAGTGCACTGTTATACTTAGTTGATTTTCGTCGTCCACTTTTTCTCATTCAAGGTACACCTTTGCAAAGAAGAAAAACTTGACTTATATACAAAAATGCCACCACATTTTTAACCCATTTTAATGCATTTGTGACATATTTAGAGCTATTACTTTTCATGGGAAGAAGACTTTTTATTTGATCCAAAATCAAATAATAAAGTACTCCGTATGAGGGATATTTTGAGCCCGTTCGGTAACTCTGTTTTTCGGCTTATCAGACTTATCAGCCAACATTTTAACCAAACACGTAACTTTTGATTTCACGCGCTGAATTGTGTAATGATAAGAAAAAGTAAGGTTGGAGTTACTTTTCTGACTGTATTGGTTGAAGTTACGGTAGATAAGCATTTTAAATATTTTTTCATATAATTTTTTCATAAATCAGCAAAATCGGCCATTTTAGCCAGAGCTTCATAAATTTTAGCACAATCAGTCGATTTAGCCGATTTCAGTGTTACCAAACGGGCTCTTTGAGTAATTAATGTTGTACCGTTCATAGAATACATTTGTTCTACTGGGGAAATATTACTGAAATTGAAGCATGAACTTAACTTTGTGGCATCTTAAAAGAAGTATGGCAATTTAATTCAAGTACGAACAGAGTAATATACGCAGAAGTTAATGGTCTGAGCTTTTTTCTTTATTTTCTCTGAAAAACTTTAAGAGCGGAGCGGAGTATATTCTTGCCATAATAGGTGGTTCGTTTTTCAATGCCTGATAAAGTACGGAGTGTATGCATATGTCAGTTTTTCTAAAATTCAAGATGCCATCTACTACAATGGTGTGGGGTCAGTCACTACTTGCCTAAAGTAAAAAAATAAAACTAACCTGTTTTTCTTTGGGCCATTCATTTTGTACGCAGTCTAAAAGAGGGACCATATTTCTTTTAAGGTTGATCCACTTTTACTAGCTAGTAAATCTGAAGAAATTGATGAAATTATAGATAGACAAGTCAATTAGATGAACTTGTTGAAGTAAAAAATATATGTATAAAAATATATTTTATTTAAAATAGAGAAAAAATCATATGAAAAATAGTGAAACCCTATCTAGCAATTTAGTGAGTAAAGTCACTCCAATTTTATTTATTTTCATTATAACACGAATCAGCACGACAAATCAAAATTTACATGTTTTGTTAAAAAGTTGGTTTGTGATAAGGCGAAATTAGGGATTACCAAACAAATTTTCAGTTTCAACCCAATCAATATAAACAAATTAAATTAGACTAGACTATAGCAGGCTTACATAATTCGAAGTACTCCGTAGTAAAATACACATAATCCCATACCATTACTAGACTACACTTAAACATATACTCCCTCCGTCCCCCAATTAAGTTCCCTTTTCCTTTTTGGATAATCCCTGAATTAAGTTCCCCTTTCCTTATTTGGCAAATTAACTACATCAAAACAGTGTCAAAACAGTAAAGTTTACCCCCAGTAATTTTTTTCCTTAATAAGTGTGAAAACCAATGGAGAACTTAATTGGGGGATGGATGGAGTACATGTCAAAAAATACAGGTTGAAGGGCCAAACTGTTTGTAATGCTCAATTTACCCCCCTAAACTAAAAAAACTTCAATTGGCACTCTGAACTAGAAAAAAAGTTTCAAATTTGACTATTTGTAAGTAACCATCTGGTTAGCGCCACGTCGTAATGTGTCAACTGTGCATATGAGGTGGCAACTCAATTCGTTAAATAAGCCACTGAACTCGATCAAATTGTTCAATTCACTCCCTCAACCATTAAAAGTGTCAAAATTACGAATAATAAAAAAATAAAAAAATAAAAATACAAATATAACATAAACAGAAGTTGAAAATATAAAACATTTATATTTTGCGGTAAATTCATAATTAAAAATAAAGGGAAAACTGTCAAATAGGTCCTCGAACTTTCATAAAAAGGTCAATTAAGTCCTTCTATAGAAGGTTTTGTCCGGCCGTCGCGATTTGGGGCAGTTCCCGGTGGAATTTTTTAATGAATTTTTTGAACATCTTATTCACCAAATATAGTTTACTCATACCAAATTTCAGCTAAAAATTCAATCGGGAACACATTCAAATTAATTCTTGAAGATAACTGCGCATTTTTGTGTTCTCGAATTAATTTGAATGCACTCCCGATTAAATTTTTAGCTGAAATTTGGTATGAGTAAACTAGAATTGATGAATAAGACGTTCAAAAAAATTCATCAAAAAATTCCACCGGAAACCGCCCCAAATCGCGACGACCGGACAGAGTCTCTTATAGAAGGACTTAATTGACTTTTTTATGAAAGTTCGAGGATCTATTTGACAGTTTTCCCAAAAATAAAATATAAACCTAAAGAAATTCTTTAACTTTATTTCCATATTTTATATATGAAGATAAACAATACTATATTTAAATTTGTATTTTATGTAATATATCTAATATATTGTAATATAAACATACTTTTAGGTTTTTCGTTTGATGATTTATAATATGTTTATTTTTCATTTTTTATTTTAAATTTATTTTGGTATAATTAGATATTAAAAGTGATTTAATTAGATGTAATTATATTTTATTGAAGTAAATACTTTTTTATATTTATAGAAGTAAAAAAAGGCATATTGAAGATTTAATTCTATACTTTGTACTAATGATCTAGACCATAAAATTTTTATACTACTTCATCCGTTCCTTAAAACTTTGACAACTTTCCTTTTTTTGTTGTCCCACTAATTTTGCCATTTTCCCTGTTTAGTAAAGAATTCGTGATTTCAGATAATTCTCTGAATTAAACTGTACCAATAAACCCATCTATGAAAAGTATTAAAATAATTTTTTCTATTTCAAAAAACGCATCCATTAACTAGTTGTGAATAGTATGAACATACATCAGGTTTGTATTTTTTTTTTCAGAATTCATGAAACTGCATTTTATTAACACATGATGAAAATGCTGCATTGCTTTTACTAAATTTGAGGCCCAAAAACTAATAACGATGCTCTTAAACGGATGGAAATAAAGTCATAATTTATTTTAATTATAACTATTTTTTACCTTGAGCTAGTTTTGAAATGGCACAGACTATTTTAATATTATAGTTTTATTTGTATGAGAAAAACTAATTACTTTTTAAATATGGAAGTAAAAACAAGGTAATAATTATTAATTACTTGACATGATAAATTGATAATTAAGTGCTATTCCATTGTGCTGTGATGTATATGTATGTACGTATAGGTGACCCAACAAGATTTAAGGGATACATATCAGCCACCATTCCAGAGTTGCATACAAAAAGCTAAAGCAAGCGGAATAATGTGTTCTTATAACAGTGTGAATGGGGTCCCTAGTTGTGCTAATCAAGATTTTCTTAACAAAACTGCACGTCAGCAATGCGGTTTTAATGGGTAAGAAATATATCAATGAACCTTTTTTCATTGCCCTCTTATTATTACTCGTACGAAAGCTTTCATATACTTTGGCATATTTAGGTATATTGCCTCAGATTGTGATGCGGTGGGAAATGTTTTTAACGACCACAAATATACAAAAACACCCGAAGAAACTGTAGCAGCTGTACTCAATGCAGGTATACTTGGATTTCTTGCGTCCATTAATTCAAAGAACTTGAAGTATTATACGATAGTAATATAGAGCTTGTTCGGAAGTCTTACTTTTGGGCCAATCACCTTTATGGCACAATTACTTTTTGAGAAAATGACAAATATATGCCTAAAATAAAAATAAGGGGAAATTTTCGTTCTAATGCGTCTACTTTAGAAATTTTCTTTCATACCGATTGTGGTGGCCTTATTGATGTTTACTTTTATACTACAATGACTTATGTGGTTGTGTTTTTGCAATGACATTACCATTGAACTTTTGGGTATGAATTTCTTTTTATCAATAGTGGAAATTTCCTTACTTTTTTTAGCTGAAGTAGCTGACTTGATACTTAAATCAATAAAAAACTATTTTCATTCCGGAGATTTTGCTTTTTTTTTTTGCTTCCACTTCAGCCCATTCAGTCACTTAAACCAGTCTTTTTTTGTCTATAAAAAATTCTTATCTTTATTTTTGTGAACAAAAATACTATACAGGGATGGATGTCAACTGTGGGTCATTTTTGAGTCAATATACAAATTCAGCAGTAATGCAGAACAGAGTTTCGGTGGACCAAATAGACAGAGCTTTACACAACCTATTTAGCACGCGTATGAGATTGGGATTGTTTGATAGAAACCCCAAAGACCTCCTCCTTTATGGTAGAATTCCTCCAAATGAAGTTTGCAGTCAAGAGCACCAGAATCTAGCTTTAGAGGCAGCAAGAAAAGGCATTGTCTTACTAAAAAATGATCATAAACTGCTTCCTCTGTCAAAGAACAAGAGTATGTCCCTCGCTGTTATAGGACCTAATGGAAATAACGCAAACGTCCTTCAAGGAAGTTACTTTGGCCCTGCATGCAATCCTGTTGAAATATTTAAAGTCATGCAGAGTTATGTTGGTTATGTTTCGTTTCTAGAAGGTTGCGTTGATGGAGTGAATTGTACTTCTGCTACAATTGATGAAGCGCTAAACTTTGCCCAAAATTCCGATCAGGTGGTCCTAGTAATGGGATTGAGTCAGAGTCAAGAAAGGGAAGAGGTAGATCGTGTGCACTTGGAGCTTCCAGGGGAGCAAGAGCTTCTCATTACGAATGTCGCTAAAGCTTCAAAGAAGCCTGTCATATTGGTGTTGGTTTGTGGTGGTCCGGTTGATATTACGTTTGCTAAATCAGACCGTAATATCGGCAGCATTTTATGGGCTGGTTATCCAGGCGAAGCAGGAGGCCTTGCGCTTGCAGAGATTATATTTGGCGAGCACAACCCTGGTAAGAATTTTCTTAACCTCAAACAATGACAGATCTATTTAAAGAAATGCTATACTCTATATTTTAGTACTATATATATATATAGAGAGAGAGAGAGAGAGAGCAGTTCATATGCATAGCTCCTGAAGAGCATCCCCGTGCGGACAAGACCATCAGAGGGTCTTCCCGGTGGAATTTTTTTGAGCATGTTCCTCATCAAGTCTAATTTATCCATACCAAATTTCAGCTCAAAATTCGATCAAGAAGGCAGTTAAATAAATTCTGGAAAAAACCTGCGCATTCTGCGCACATATAATGTGCAGTATGTTTCTAGATTTTATTTGACTGCCTTCCCGATCGAATTTTGATTGATATGGATAAACTAGACTTGATGAGGAACATGCTAAAAAAAATTCATCAAAAATTCCACCGGGAAGACCCTCTGATGGTCTTGTCCGCACGGGGCTTCTCTTCAGGAGCCCCTGATAGGAACGGGACTATATATATATATATATATATATATATATATATATATATATATATATATATATATATATATATATTCCTCCTCGTGGTGAACTCGGGGAGGTGCTGGAGGGGGCATTGGCCTCAAATTTTTTCCAGAGCCCCATAGAAATATTTCTAGCTCCGCCACTAATCTTCTGTGTAAACAAGTCTCGTTTATGTAATGTACTTGCAGGAGGAAAGTTACCAATGACATGGTATCCTAAAGATTACATTAAAGTTGCAATGACAGATATGAATATGAGGGCCGATACATCTAGAGAGTACCCAGGGCGTACATATAGGTTCTACGAAGGTCCTACAGTTTTCAACTTTGGCGACGGTCTTAGCTACTCAAGATATGCTTATGAGTTCACTTCCACTACACCAACCATGGTAAACTTGACCCAGCTGTCAACTGTTAAAACATCTATGGGATTCGATTCTGTCAATTACATGTCAGTGGATGATATTGAAGGAGAGACATGCGAGAAGGCAAAGTTTTCAGTCACTGTCGGAGTTCAAAACTCTTTGGAAATGGATGGAACTCACCCAGTGCTGCTTTTCATGAAGCCTACTGAACGGAAAGATAATGGATATCCAGTGAAACAGCTGGTGGGGTTTCAAACTGTAAACTTAAAAGCAGGTGAACGGGAGGAAGTTGTATTTGAACTCAACCCTTGCCACCATCTCAGCACTGCAAATAAGGATGGATTAATGGTGATTGAAGAGGGGACTAAGGATTTAGTTGTTGGAAACACAGAACACATTGTTAACATAGGTTTTTGAATCCTATTGAATATTGTCTTTAGTGATGAAACTTTGGTCTTTTTGTTGTTGTTAGTGCTTCACTTCTCGTTAATAATTTAATATACACCTGCCTTTCTTTCAAGATAAAAACAGCGGAATTGCTTCGACTTTAATTTATATTTATAGTTATTTATACTTATAGATACGTAGTTTTTTGTGAAGCATATTTCTTACCTCACCATGATATAAACTAATAAATTATTACGGAGTATTACATTTTGTTGTTTTTGACATTGTGAATTAAGGTAGCCATCATTCCGTCAAGTTATCCAATCTGGTTTGGAATAAGGGGACGTGTGACGTGCTAGATTATTTGTCAACACTTTTTTTGATAAAAAAAACTACAGGACCCTAGATTACTGCTAATGAAGATGGATAATAGAGTTAGTAGTTCAGGGGATTAGGACCATCTCTCATTATTTTTTATCCTTTTTATTTTATCATTTTTAGGTATATTCATCTCTTTTTATATTATCTTTTTTTTATAATAGCTTATCCTTTTTTCTCTTCATTTTCTTTGTTTTCCTTTTGGTGGTGATATCATGTATTGATTCATGTCAGCCGACCCCAATATCTTTTGGGACTAAGACTTGGATAAGCTAGGGGATTAGGACCATCTCTCATTTAGTGGTGGATGCACTCTATTCAAAGATGTAGCACCTAAAATTTTAAAAATAAGGAAAAGTTCAAATGAATAATTCCAATTATTAGCGATATTTCAATGTTAATCTCAAATATTGATAATTATAGTTTAATCGCCATCTTCCCTGAAATATCTGATGACTTGTATACATCTATTTAGCATATCACTGGAAAACGTGGCCTATTTTGATTGGGTTTCAATAATTTATTGGTTTATTTTTTTTAATGTTTTGTACTTTTCTTTCATTTCTATATTTTTTCTTCAGTTTTTCCTTTCTTTCGCATCTATTGGTTTCTCGCCAAGATATTGGCCCATCTGAGTTCATCTTTAGAAAGCAGGACGCCGACCCATTCCCGTTCATCTTCAGAAGCAGGCCATCGTAATCGAAGTTTCTGGCCAATGGGGACACTCAGTGGCAGAGGCAGAAAAACGACTCAGGGGGCTCAAAACTTAATTAAATACAGAGATCACTTTTAAATAATACCTGAATTGAATGTTTCATATGTGCTTTAGATAAATGGCAATTTAAATGAAACTAATAGAGTTTTAGATTTGATATATATTTCATACACATTCTATACTTCATGTAGTAATGAGTGAATTAGAAGCTATTTTTAAAATTTGAGAACCTAATCAATATACGCTTCAAGTTTTGTTCATTTCACATTCAGTTAGTGCTAATTTTCCAGAAATCTTAATTTTTTACTCGTAATAATTTATGTGAGACAAATATATCAACGACGAAGTGGGATCGACTGATCACCCAGACCCCCTTGGCTCATCCTTTGGGAACACTCGTCATTGGGGGAGAGGAAAATGAATACTCTATGAGATATTCAATGGAGATCGAAGAAGAAGATTTAGACCAAAGACGAAGATTAATATCCATTATGGCCATTTTTCTTCTTTTTCCTTTGCTTATTTTATTTATTTTGTTCTTTATTCTTTCTTTTCTTCATGAGTTCCGTGCTTATCGTCACTTTGTGTTGTTCATTTTCTTTTCTTTGTTCATTTTACATTGTTTTGTACCCTTTCATTCCTATTTCATTGCATTTGCAATGAAGGAACTTAATTATTGTCCTCTATTTAAATCGAACACGAAAAATGTTTTATGAGGAACCGACAAACGACTCATGAAGCTTGAAACTTAATTAATGGAGCAGGCTGAAACACAGAGAAAGGAAACAGGATGAATAGCCCTGGTGTTTTCTTATTCTGCGCTATCCTCCCAATTAACTATCCGGTTGGTGGTGGGGGGTGGAGTGTCATCTTTTATTTTCTTATTCTGGATTTCTTACTTTGGAACTTAATTAATGAAGGGGACTAAACACAGCTAGCTAGAGAAAGGAAACAAAATGAACAATCATAAGGTTTTCTTACTATGAGATTTCTTACTTTGGAAGTAAATTAATGAAGGGCACCTAGACACACAGAGAAAGGAAACACGATGAAGAGTCTTGTAATTTGTTACTTTGGGTATTGTTACTTTGGAACTTAATTAATGAAAGAGACTGAAACACAGACAAAGGAAACGAGATAAAAAGTCCTGAGTTTTTCTCACTTTGGGTATTCTTACTTTGTGAAAGTAGAAAAAGAATATCATGGAAAAGAAGTCTTTAGTGTTGCTTTTCAAATTTTGAGTTGGAAACACAATTCTTTTGGGGATGAATTTCAAAAACGGGAATGAAAATATGATTTAAACGGTGCGTGCACAATCCTATTCTAGATCACTCATCGATCTCCCAACAGATAGATGATTATTAAATACACTTCACGAGAAATCTCATCATAGATCACTGCCTCCTTCTTAGGCAAGTGATACTGACTACAGTGGTCCATAGCCCCACACCACTAAACTTTCATTGATCACGTCGTGTCTAGGAACTCTGCTCCTAAATATTTTGAATTTTCTAGGACACATATACACTTATAGTCAGTTGTTGATCTTTTTAACCATGCGAGAATTTCCATAGACTCATCTACTATAGATGCAGTTCGAGGATTGGAAGGAAGTCTTGACATTGCAACATCTCTATCATCTACATGTTCAGACCATCCTTTAGAGTTTATCTTTAGAGAAATGATAACGGGTTGACGTGCACTTTGTCGTGAGTGCACTCAAAATAAATTTCAATACAACACTTATACGTAGTATAGCGTAGTAGAGTTCGTATCCACAGGGAAAGGAATAACTTTCTTTTTATATAAATAGTAAGTAAAAGGGGGGGTTTTGATTGTTGAGTGATTTAATTAAATTAAACACGAAGATGAACGATTTATATGGGATTTAATTCAAAGATAAAAGGGACTTGGTCTTGCTACTTTCCACTTGTTGATATATTTTAGTCAATCATTGTTATATCCATAACTTATCCCCTCTCGAATACTCAATCGCGGAGTATAACCAGTTCATCGAGGGTAGTTATTAACAACGACCGTTCATTAATAACCCTTACTATTAATCAAATATAGAACAACGCCGTATACCGATATAATAGTAGCATTCAATCTATTTAACTCCTTGATGAAATCAATTGAGATTAATAACCTCAACGCAACGGTTTTGGTTTAACCAACAAAATTGATCCCTCTTAAGTTTATTAACCACGACCGTGCATTAATAAACCGAAGTTACTTACTTGTGAAACTATCAACGATTAACCATCGGTTCGTTGATCGTTTCTAGTAATAATCAATGTTGGAACGTTAACTAATCGTCACTTAGCAACCCTCCAACAATGATGTAGAATGAGATTAAGGGAAGAATTAATAATCAAGAAGAGAGAGTAAGAAAATAACTCACAACTTTAATAATCAATCAAGCTTCAAGAGCAAAACCAAGAAATGGAAGTTTAGCTCCTCATTTGGAGACTAAACATGCTAAAAGAAATATAGAGAAATTCTATTCTAAACTGAGCTTAAGAGTATAAAGGAATTGGTCTCTAAAAGTGAAGGAAAGGAGGTGTATTTATAGGCTTTTTGAGGTGCAGGTCGAGTACTCGATCGAGTATATATACATACTCGATCGAGTATGTGTAGAACATCGAATTCGCCCTATACTCGATCAATACTCGGGTAGTTTTTATAGCTATACCCGATCGAGTATATAAGTATACCCGATCGGGTATAGACACTCGAACGTGGGAAAATCTTCTCCTGCATGTTCCTTTGTTTTCGGATCCGATCCGATTTGAAATGTCAACCAGATACCCGATCGAGTATATGTATATACTCGACCGAGTATAGACCAAAATCAGGATTTTTCCTTCTTTTTGTCTTGTATTCTTGCACCTTCCTTCACCATTGATCATTTGATTGATCTTGGACCTGTTTAAGCTCAGAATAAACCTAATCTAAACAAATTACAAGAATTTAACAAACTAAACTATTACACCGAAAGTGTGTAATTTCCGAAATATTAAACAACCAAAACTATCTAAAAACGTAAATAAACACACGGAAATTACAAACATATCAACTCCCCCACACTTAGTTCTTTACTCGTCCTCGAGTAAAGTTCAATGTTTACAAGTGAAAAGATTCCCGAGTTCCAATAGATTCAACAAGATAAAAACACAAAGACCACCAAGGATAAAATATGAATTTTAATGCTAAATATCATCTTGGGTTTTATGGTCTTCTAGTGTTCATCTTCTCTTCCTCTTCTCCTTTTTCTTCTTCTTCTTCTTCCTCTTAGAGATCAAATGAGTTCCTGCACACAGAAAAATATTTCTCTCATATCTCTCATTTTGCCTAGGAGCCTTTTCAGGTTTTCATCCTAGCATCTCTTTTTGTTTTTCCATCCTTACTAACTCACTCATTTTTTTTTATAAGCCATTTTTGCTTAGATTGCCCATTCTTGGGTTTTCAACCTAACTAGCATTTCAATTCTTTTATTTATTTCTATTTTTTTTTGTTTACAAAGAGTAAAAGAAATTCATGCATAGTAAAGTGTGAAAATAAAAATTACATACCATGATGAGTCTCCTCCCCCACACTTATTTTAAGCACTGTCCCTAGTGCCCGCCTTCTCCGCCGTAGAAGCCGCCTCCAAAGCCTCCTCCAAAGCTCCCATCGCCCATGTGGGTGTCGCCGCCGTCATCTCCGCCATCAAAACCTCCACCCCCGGAGCTAGATCCTCCAAAGTTACCCCATTGAGTGGGGTCATACCAAGAGGGGGGTGGGGGTGGTTGAGCCATAGTATGAAATTGGCCTTGATGAGCCATGTAAGAGTACATAGGTCCATAGAACCTACGTTGGTCTTCCTCATACCTTCGGTTATCCTCTGCCCGTTGTTCTTCTAATCTTCGAAATCCTGCACTTTGTTCCTCCCTATATCGTCCAACTTCGTTGGTCACCTTGTTGAAACCATCAAGTAGTTGTTGGAAATAGTCGGGAGGTAGGTGACCTTGGGTCTGTTCGGGGATGTGCTCATGTATGGCCTCGGGTTCCTGATGATTGGCTTCGGGCTCATTTTCAGGGTGTGCTTCGGCTTGGGGT